GGGGCGCGGGCGCGAGGCGCGGAGCCGGGCTGCTCGCCGGCGCCCCCTGCTGGCAGAGTCTGGCCAGGCCGCCTGGGGTCCCCCGGATAAAGAAAGATAAACTCGAGGCTTTTATAGGTAAATGGTCACAACTAGAGACCACACTCATCAGTGAAATAAATCAGAGCTGCATGTGCAAGCACCGCATTGTCTCAAGAGTGCAAAACCTGAAAGAGTGAATAAAAACTAGGAGGTACGATAGACATTGTGAAATGAAAGGAAAATGCTCAAGGGTAAAGAGCAACTGGGATGTGGGAAAAGAGAAGGGAAAGAAGGAGAAATTTTCTTTGCATGTATATACAGGATAGTTAACGTAGTTGAACTACTGTCTTCTCTTTCTTTGCTGAAAGAAACATTTAATGATTCCTTGATTGATCAATATTGCATGTCTCTATTTGTTTTCGTGATAAACCACTTTGAAGACATCAATATGTAATACAACAAGCATCGTTAATTGCCTACCACTTTGCTTGTAATTCTGTATTGTTTGTATTGTTCTTTTGCTATTTTGTAAGTGGTTGTCTGTTTGTCAATGTTTTCCTTCTTTTATTTTTAAAATAAAAAAGAAATCAAGGATGTGGAGGCGCCCTGAGGACGTGGGAAACCCAAGACACCAGACGGCCCTTGAATCCACCCTCAGGACGCAAACACTGCATCCGTCAGCTACAAAGAAACTGTGACCCCATCTGAGCTGCCCCGACGCGACGCAACGCTGCGTCCTCATCCACCTTACCCGCTGGGTCTGGCATCTTGCGACTCTGGCTTTTCCCCAAAGTCACAATGACCATGAAAGGGGAACATTTTGAATCCATTCTGACATCGAGACAGCCAGGACAGGGCAGCTAAAGACATCCAGAAAAGAGGACTCCAGCGCTGCTGCAGAAAGTGACAAGGATGACGGGATGAATCTGTTAAAAGCCAAGGGGAGGATTTTGAGGGATTCGTGACAATGTGTCTTTAACTGTGATAATTTTTTAAAATTTTAAACATTCACCATAGGTTAAATCTTCATAGAGTTCCTGGGAGGAAATAAGTCTAATAATACAACTGGAAAGTGGTTAGGACTTCCTTAATATCATTTGTTGCTGGGCGTAGTAGTGCATGCCTATAATCCCAGCACTCAGGAGGCTGAGGCAGGAGGATCACTGCAAGTTCAAGGTTAGCCTGGGCTACAATGTGAGTTCAAGGCCAGCCAGAGCTGCATAGCGAAACCTTCTCAAAAAACAAAAATAAAAAATAAAAAATATATATATAGTCAAAGAATTAAACTAGAAGAGTTGGGGTTGTTTTTTTTGTTTTGTTTTGCGACAAGGTCTAGCTATGCAGTTCAGGCTGGCCTTGAACTCACTGTTTAAGTCCCAGGCCTCAGGGCATGCAGGGTGGGTCAGCAGAGACCTTGGGGAGGGCATCTGACTCAGCCCTGCCCTGTTCCAGCACTCTCTGAGAAGCCCAGGAGAGGCCCTAAGCAGAGCATGAAAAGATAGATGAGAGGACCTCGGGACACACGGTTGGTAAATGGAAAGGGGACCTTGAGGGAGAGACAAGAAGGCAGGGAAGGGAAAAGGAACAAAAACGGTTAAGATGCGTCCCACTCCTGCACCCACTCCCCTTAGTGAGTGTAACCAATGTGCCCTACAAATACGAAGCATAGAAGACTTTTAAAAGAAAAGCCAGCGGAGGTGGGAAACTAGGCAGGCTGCAGAGAGAGCACCCTGGACTGAGTACAGATCCAGAGCCAGAGTGATAGAGTCTGTTGTCCCACAGCATCCAAAAGAGAGGCAGAGCATGTCCCCTGCACGCTGACCACTTGCTGTCCTCGCCCTTGCTAACCTGGATCCCATCAATGAGCCGCTGCCACCCACTGGCTTAGCAGACCTTGGCCTCCTTTCCAGCGCTGATCCTTAGCTCACAGAGGCAAGGGGCCTGCGTCCCTTGGGCTCCCCGCAATGTGCCTGGGTCCTGAGGTGTGTGACAGTCTCCCGAGCCTGCTCTTGCGCACATCTCCGACCACACACACCCCAGGAGCACAGTGGCCCGTTGGTGCTCCATAGAGAGTCAACCAGGAAGTGGGTCCAGAGCGTTAGCGAAATGCAGACTTCCACGCCCGGCCTGTCTGCATGCTCCCTGCAGGCTCTTCACCTGCCCTAGAACAAAGGTAGAGCTGCTGGTTTGTATCTAGTTGTCCCCGCAAAGCTTTACACACTCATAAGCAGGGCTTTGGAGAAGCGGTTGGATCACGGCCACGTGATGGTGATCCGCCATTCGTTCCTTGCTGAGTTTCTAGCTAAACGTGACGTTGGGAGGTGGGGCGTGGTTGGAAGAGGTGTCTGGGGGCGTGGCCTGGAAGGGTGTGTCCCACCCGCTCCTCTTTCCTTTTACTCTGCGCTTCCCGTGGGTTTGGTTGACCGGATGCCTTATCTCTTCCTACTTTTGAACACTAACCCCATCACACCTGAGCAGCACCACCACCAGCCTAGGGGCTGTGGACAGGGCTGCGGTGCCCTTCTCTGGCCCAGCTGTGGGAATGGATTCTTCTGAGAGCTTTGGATCTGGGGATATTGGGTTCCCAAGACACTGGTGTTCATGTCAGAACTAGAAAAGTGTTGGGATCTTCTCCCTTCTGCCTTGCTGTTGGGTGGACTGGGGGAAGTGGGAGGATGGATATGATAACTTTGTTAACTGTCAATGCATAGTCGCCTGTGGCTCCCACAGATTGTAAAAACGCACAGTGACCACAAACCTGCACCAAAGAGAGACCCCATAGCATCAAGACACTAAGACACAAGGCACTGTACAAAATACTTTAATACACGGCAGCACGCTGTCATCCACTAGGTCAGCGCCTGAGAGCATCATCTATGGAAATGCTTGCATCTGCCTAGAAAATAAACCATTAGACACTCAGAGCTTTCACACCCTGCAGCACGACTGATCTCTGCGTGATTAGCACTCATTAAACAGAGTCCATGCCACGGGAGAGTAGATATGCAGTAAATTATTGATCAAAGAAACTTCATTGCCACTCCATTTGACTGGTTTTCTTCTTTCTTCTCCCTTCCTTCTTTTCTTCTTCTTTTTTTTTTTCCTTCAAGGCCTTCATGCTGAGCGACATCCCCAGCCATTTATTTGTCTATTTGTTATTTATTTATTTATTTATTTATTTCATATTGAGCCAGAGTCTAAGTCACTAAACTGCCCAGGCTGGATTCTAACTCATCATCCTCCTGCCTCATTCTCCCAGAACTGCTGGGATCACAGGCATGCAGCACACCGCCACAACTGGTTGACTGAGTTTTTCATCTCTCCCGCAATTAGACTACAAATGCCAATCAAAATAAGCCTGAGCCCATTTTTTAGATAATTCAGCCAAATAAACTCATTCATATTCAAACTTAAAACAGGCCACTGTCATATTATACATCATTAAATAAGAGAGACAATAAGTACTTTCAAGACCAATAGCCCATGACTGGTGACATCCTCCCAGGTTTCTTAAGATGAAATTCTGTTCATATGGTTGCCGTCCAAACTTAAGAGAATCATTGAAAACACTTACCCTGAACATGTAAGATACATCAGTTATATGTGTCTTTATTTCCCCAATAAACAGGGTGAGTTTCACAAAGCAAACACTTGTATTTAAAGTAGAAAAAGTAAAGCAAAACACTGTAAGCCAAGCTTGAATTTCACTGTAACATTAAAAGTTTCTATTCCTCCCCTTTTAAGACAGAAGGGTACCTAAATATTTTAATCGCAAAATTGTTGCTAATCCTGACAGTGCATAAAACATATAATACTGTAGTAAAAAACACAGCTAGCAAGTGTTCAAAGGGGGTTATTTCTCCAGTGTAATTTTACTTTGCCTTCTTGTATTATGCGTGCCTTAGGGGAAAGGAAAATAGTTTCCCCAACTAGAAAAGATTGGGGCTCCAGATTCAAATTTGATTTCTGATCACATTGGGTGAGCACCTACTGTATACCATGCCAATGCCTTTGGTGAACTGAAAGTTTTGTTTTAGGACTAGTTTGATTGGAGGACGGTCTTGTAGTTTGGGTCCTGTTAAGATGACTTTCTGATTCATTATTCTCTTAAAAAGTACGTAAAGTAGAAAATACAGAATAACCTATCCTATTTTGAATGAGACAAAAACATATGTAAATTGAGGTATAAGGAGTTAAAACTTGAGGTAGGGATTTTTTTTTTAAGAAAAAAAAAATCACAACTCAGCAATTCAAATCAGTGAATCCTGAAAACAGATTAGGAAGCAGAATTTCTGGAACAAACTAATGAAATCATACATCTACGCGCCCTCTTCTGCCGGGCACTGGCATTGCAGCTGAATTAAATTAATTTGCTCTGGCCAAAAAAAAAATGCATGCTTTAGCTTTTTTGAAATAATTATAGGATATGATTGTTTTCCAGGCAGTGAGATACTGTGTAGGTTACATAAGTAAACTACACATGATGGTTTCACCACAAGAAGACTGATTACATCACAGTCTTTGGTATGCTTTTTCTTCCAGCTAGAAAAAGAAAGGACTGTTTTTTTTTTCATATGGAACCAGATCGTATCCTCTTTTAAGGGATTCAGAGTAAATTGAGAATATTGCATGACACAGTGGCTCTGTTCGAATAAACCCCAGGCACACTGTACACTCATCACAGTCCTCCCAGCCTTTGGCTTTTGGCACTTTTACAGGGCAGAGCCACCCCAGGCGCAGTCACCTGGCCACCGTCAGAGACGGACACAGGGGTGACCATCCGTGGGCAGAAGGGTGAACATCTTCTTCCCCCTTCTGGGTCACCAGTCGAACTTCATGTCTTCCTTGCTCCACACATACTTTCCCCCTCGCTTGAGAAACATCTTCTCATCAAACCCGCTGAACTTTATAGCCTCCTGTACACCAACATCCAGAATGGACTTGGAAGGGTCTTTCCGTCCTTTTCTGCAGTTCAGGAAGCGCATCTAGGAAAACCAAGTCAGAAATGGGTACATTTTCATTTCATTTGTCCTGTGAAACTCCATCAAGCCAAAACAATTTTCGATATTCTGATCATGTTTCGGAGGGTTAGAGAGGACTGTGGCCAAGCACAAGGCAGCTACGGCCTCACGTCCCCAGCTCAAGCCCAGCTGGAGGCATGAGAGGCTGATGGAAGGGTGTGGGATCCACTGAGCGTAGCATTACGTACATGTCACCTGAGCACCTGTCCCCCATTAGAGGGGGAGTGGGAATCAGGACAGACTTCCTTGAAAAGCTGACATCTGAATTTTGTTTTGAAATTTTACCCTGAGGGGGTGTAGTACAAAAACACAAAAACAAGGTATAGTACTGTGTCTTTGGGAAATCACAGGCGGACTTTTTCCTAGAATGTAGATTGCATAAAGGTCTGAGTCTGAATCCTAATAAAGGCTTTCTTTGGGAGAGGGAGAGACAAGAGCCAGAAAGGGGCTTCTGAGGCAGGCACCTCACTGACTGAGAGCAGTCCTTTGTGCCCTGTGTCCAGCCCGGTATCTTCCCTCTGATGCGATTTTTAGTTTTCATTCATTGTGTCCTAGCTTTTTCTACTTAGTAGTCAGGAATGAGGTCTTCCCAGTTCTTACCACCTGTACTGAGCATTTTGTAGGAGATCAAGCAAAACATGTTGAATCAAGAAATCATTAAATCAGCAAAAGCAAATTTGATTCACTTATGTTTTTTCCAACTACAGTATGTGGAGACCAATGAGTTTGTCGAGGAACATTGGTCAGAATCCCTAGACAGTCATGATAGTTTGCACACCAAAAATAAATTGTTTTTTCTTTTTACTTGGGACTCCTACTAAGAAACCAAACATTTCCATTATCATTTTTCTTTTTATACTCTCTTAAGAAAGCTCACATGGACAATAAATGAAATTACTTCATTATTTTAAGGCATCACTGATTAACATAAGTAACAAAATAAAAATTATAATAAGCATTTGCTCAGAAATCCAATTTCAATATTGTTCTCACTGGAGCTTATTTGTTTAAAAAAATATCTCTTTGAGTGGAATTGTTTGTCCTCTGCCAGAAATACCACTCAAAGTTCTAAGTTTAGAACAATAACAACCAAGAAAAGTAAAAAAATAACAACAAAAAAAGGGAAGTGGTTTTTTGCTTCTCCGTTGTTCCAATTCTGAGGAGGGTGGGGTTTTCCCTTTCCTTTAAAAAGTGATGGGGGTGGAGACAACACCAGTGCCTTGCTAAGAATATCCATGAGGCTCTCTGGGTCACTCTCAAGGAGACCCAGTCCAGAGATCTGGTTGCTGAAGATTTTGTGACCTGAAGATTTTGTGATGTGACGTCGCCTATCTCAGGAGAACCTCCAGCCCGAAACCATAGAACAGAGAACTCTGCCATGGTATTTGATCCTATGTGACATCCACAATAATTGATTGTGTGGGAACAATATCCTCAGGGGGAGGGGTGCTACTGCCAAGCTATGGGCTTGGCTCAGGCTAAAATTTGTGGAAATTCTGAGATCAGAAATTGACCCCATTCAGACAGGGCTTCACTATATATTAAAAAAAAAAAAAATCACTGCCAGTCAAACCATGAAATCCCCTACAAGCAAGACAAATTGGTACTAAATGGTTGTGTTCATTTTAGTTCAACTTTGGCCTGCTGCTTAATTAGTTTTCCCAAGGATCATTTTGTAACTCACAAGAAATACTTACATATTCATCCAGAATGAGATAAGAGTCTTTCATCTGCAAAAAAAAAAAAACCCAAATCAGATTCAGACTTAGTTTGAAATACAGCCGCCAGTGGGGCTCAGCTGTCTATTGTCTGATGTTTGTGTTTTTCTATTCACACTGAAAGGCTCTAGGGGAGAAATGTCACCATGAAAGTATGTCTGACAAGGACAGCCCACGCCAACTCTCTTTCCCCCCAGCCGTCACCAACATGGCCTGTGATTGTCACTACCATCCACATGATTTCCCTTTTTTCCAGTGTACAATTCAGAATTTCTTTAATGCTATAACCTGGCACCTAAAAGGTGGCTTTATGCTGGAATTCTAATATCACCCTATCATGTCTTGAAAATAGTCCTGCATTTTGCAGCCATAGGTAGGAATACCTTCCCCACCTACTCTTACAGGTGTGGATAGGGAAAATTCTTTCCTATAAAAGGTCAGTTAGTAAATGGGTCCTGCCATAAAGCCCTCAGAACCTCTGCCACAGCTAACAAGCTCAACACCGAAGCTCAAAAGCCACTACAAAAAGTATGTAAGGGGATAGGCACGGCGGTAAGAGGTGAGAGTGGGAGGTGGGGGACAGAAGCAAAGACACTTGCTGAGAGCTGCTCTGAGAATCCAGCCCCAACCTGTGTGCTTGGAGCAGCCCCAGTGAGGGATGCAGCCATGCATGAACTCATGGGCTTTGGAGTTACCAAAATCCTGGGTTTGCTCAGCCAGCACTCAAGTCAGTGACCACTTAGGACTCAGGTTCCTCGTGTGGGAAATGGGGGAAATAATCTGGGGCAAGGAAGCACTTGTGAAAAATCTAGGTGTGCAAAAGGATTAAGAGTCTGTCTACAAAGGACAGACCCAACACACGGTGGCATTTATGATAGCCTACCATATGTTCTTTGATCTCGCATTAACTACACAATTAAGATGGGGACCAAAAAAGCCAACAGGGTAGTGCCCATGTGGGAGGACAGTTCTGCTTGCTCTGGTTTCTCTTTGAAGGTTGCCCTGTCTGCCTGGGGACACCCTTGCTCATGCTCCAGTCCATATGACCTTTCAAACTCCAAGCATTGTGCGAGAAGCACAAGCAACGGATTCTCATCCTTGGAATTTCTGCCTCTGTGTGAGCACTATGGGGGAGAGGTTTGCTATGTGCTTATTTTCAGGTGACAGAAGGGAGCATCTGTTTTTAAAATACTTTTTTGAATAATGAAACATTTTAATTGCTTTAAAGTCCTAAAACTTATAAAAGTAAACAAAAATGACTACCAATCCTGTACTCCACGGTAACCATGGCAATGTTACAGGGACATGTTTGGGCCCACCAGTATGGACTTCAAATTAATTTTGCATACTAGTTTTCATTGGTACTTAATATTATGAGACCTTACCCTGATCATTTAATATTCTTTGAAATGTGCTTTTCAGTCAGAATAAAATTTCATTCTATGAATGTACAATTAAGTTTATTGCAATTATTTACTCTTAATACAGTAGTAATGTGCCTTTGCACAAATATTTCTCAAATTCTCAGATTTTCTAAGTTTTAAGGTAGAATTTCTGAATTAGCTTATGTAAACCTTTAAAGGTTATCATTATGAATTATCAAGTTTTTGTCTAGGAAATTTGAAGTGATTTGTTCTCTTACTAGCAATATGAATTTGATTTTTCATATGACTTTATAATTTGTATTTTCACTTGTATTTCTTTGAGTGCTGATGGTATCAAATACAAGTTTATCTACAATTTGTTTTTTTTGTGTGCGTATGAATTGTCTATTTATATCCAAAGCCTGACTTGCTTTTTCTGTTAGTCGATTCTTATTGATCTAAAGAAATTTTACTCTGTAATATTTTATTTTAAAAGATTCAGCATAATATGTAATGGTATCATATCCTACTTTTAATTTTTATAGCATATGTGGTTATTTATTTATTGAGATGAGGTGTCACTATATAGTTCAGGCTGGCTTTGAACTTACTATGCAGCCCAGGTTGCTCAAATTTGTGGCAATCCTCCTGCCTCCGCCTCTTGAGTACTGAGATTACAGGTATGTGTCACAGACCCAGCTATATTTTTAATTTTTATACTTTGAAATACTTCACCCATAATTGTTTTAAAATGTTCATATATTGAATTAATCAGGAGGTTCCTCCACTCTGGAAGGGAGAATAAGGAATTGTTTTTCTTTAGATTTTGAGAATATGGGGAGTAATGGCTCTTCATTTAAGAGTGCCTGGAAGCATTGTAATATAGACCTGTCTGGGCCAAGGCTGTTCAGTCTGTACATAAAATCTAATAAGAAGCATTCAGTTGTGCATATATGGGACAACTAAGGAAATGGTCATGCAGTCTTTCTATTCTATCCAACTTTATCGTTCATAGAGATAATTCCAGTAAGCAATGAGATAATGTTGACACCACTATGGTTGCCCTTATTCCCTCTAGCATTAGACGCTGTACCATCACCCATGAGCCTCCTCTACAGAGCAAGTTGTATATGTGAGTTTCCTGTAGCAGGACTGCACATGCATCTATATACGTAATCACATGGTCTTGGAGGTGCCACTCCACCCACTCAGTCCTGAAACTGAACCTCCTCATGGGAGACTGTGTAGCTGGCAGGTGGCTCCACTGCCTCTAGCGCTAGCGTGGTAATGTGACAATGTGCACAGCCCTTGAGTGGAAAAGCCCCCTCTGTGGAATGATCTACATGTGCTCTTGTGACAAGGCAACATGTGCTGGATACCACCTTCTGGTTACACTCTGGCACCAAGCAGGACACCTCTTTATGACGCTCCAAGAATTCCTCAAACTCTTCCTCACTAATGATGAATCTTTCTGCTTCTCTCAGAGCATCTTCTCCACAGTTCTCGCCCTCAATCAGGAGGCACTGGAAGACCTGGAAGACAGGAGTGCTTCTGCATGAGGACCGCTTGTTCCTGTCCCCCATGCCTGACTCCTTGGTCCAGGTTCCATCTCTCTGCATGAAGAAGGCTCTTGGAGCCAAGTGACATCCCTTGGAAATGTTACCCTAAGAACTAAGGGCTAGTCCAATATTTAGGAACAAACACAAATATTCTTAAGAAATAAATTTCCAAACCAGGCTGAGTATGCTTGCTTTAGGTTTATAACCTAACATTTTCAGACTATAAAATAGTGGATGTGCTTGAAATGAACAGGGACTATAACAAGCCCAAAAGGTAAATCATTTGTAAGCCACCAAACCAAGAAAAAAGTAATTTCAAGATTTTCTTGTTTCTCCTGACTTTTAATGTATTCTTATCAAGATCTCCAGATTCTGTCTGTTTTTCACTCACAGCTAAATACAGTGCGCCCACTATCCATGTACCTTACAGAGCTGTAGCTCTAAACACATGAGATTTGAGGGTGGACATTCTGAATCTAAACCATAACAGGCTGGTAGAGGGACCCATCTCAAAGCATCAAACTTGGGAAAATGGTCTTATTTTGCTACAGTACAGCAATGACTTTACCTTTTCCAAATAATTCAGTGAAAACTTGGCAGCATCAGAATTTATAAAGAACATTCATCCATCCATCCATCCACCCGTCCATCCATCCATCCATCCATCCATCCATCCATCCATAAGCCGAGTTTTAAGAAGAAATTTAGGTTTTACCAAAAGAGATTCTTCAGAATATCTCCAAGCACTAAACGTATCTTTGACTTTTATCCTCTTCATATTCCAGAGGAAAATAAATGCCAGTTTTCAGGAGGGAAAATGGAGCAAAGGAAACGATAGCTGAAACCCTAACGTTGCTGAAAGAAAGACTAAGAGTTTGCTGGAGAGGTGCAGAGTTCTTGGTATCAGTGTCATACTTGGTTTCACTGAAAAAAGTCACTCCTGAACACTTTTGGATTCAAACCAGCAAAGGCAAGGTTGCACACTTACCTTCCAGCGCACAGGGTTGAGTGCCCTGATGTGTTCTCTCATGTCCTCTTCCACATTGAATCGATTAATCACAGAGTTGATCTTGAAGGCCACTTTATAGTCCTTGCACCACTTATTCAGTTTCTGCAAGTTTTCCACATGGTTCTTCTTTCCCTGGCCCCGGCCGATGAGGACATTGACTTGCTCATTGAAGCTGTCGCAGGAGATAGCAAGAATGTCCAGATACTCACCTGCAGGACAGGGAGAGTCTCGGGTTACCTGGGTGAGGGTCAAGCCCTTTCCCTCATTTACTTGTCTTTATCATAAAGCAGTCTGTTTGCATGTATGCTTCAATTTTTTAAAATGATATTTTTTTCTCACGTGCACACAACTTGCTGAGATGTAAATCATATTTGCGTCAAATAATCATTTCAAGAGCCTACATATGCATAACAAAATGATGGAGAAGCTTATATTTGATCATTCTAAAACCCTGTACAAGAAGACATGGGAGCCTTATCAATACACTAAAATATGAGCTAGATGCAGTGGCATAAGACTGTAATCCCAACACTGAGATGCTGAGGCAGGAGGATCACAAATGAGTATCAAGCCCTGGGAACTTAGAAAGACTTTGTCTCAAAAAAATATAGGTATATGTATGTGTGTGTGTGTGTGTGTGTATGCATATATACATACATACATATGTGTATATGTGTGTATATATGTACATACCTATGAAGCTCTTCATTTCTTCACTTTTTTTTTGGTACTGTGAATTGAACTCAGGGCCTCACATTTGCCAGGCAGGCGCTATACCATTTAGCTACATCCCAGGCCCCTCTTCATTTATTCTTGCAGAGAAATTGCATGCCTATAATCTCAGCATTCGGGGAAGCTGAGATATGAGGATCGTATGTTTGAGCCCAGTTTGAGTAACTTTGGAATTAGCAAGGCCCTGTCTCAAAAGAAAGAAAGCAGCGGGGCTGGGGATGTAGCTCCGTGAGAAGGTTCTGGTTTTGGTCCTCAATACCACAAGTAAATAAACTAATTAACTTTAAATCTCATATAATTTTTGAAGAAAATGGATATCTGGGAAGGCTTCTAGATATATCTAAGAGCAACTATAGATTTGCTTAGTAGAAGGGCCCTAATGTTTTCTTTTTTGCCAAATTCATTAGCTTCTTCTCAATAGGTCTTGTACTCTAGATTTACTTTCAAAATATTTCTAAAGTCTCTGTGTCATATCAGGCACAACCACTTTACGTGTGGGGAAATTGAGATTAAGGGAAGCCGGGTGTTGTAACCAGTGTATAAACAGGCTCCTCCCCGCCCAAGCATATTGTTAGTTCTGATAGCAAGTCCCTCCTGGTGCACAGATCCTGAGCATGATTTTGGCTTTGGACTTTTCTTCACCTATTCCTGTAATGTTAGTTTTCACTCTGAACTTCCTGGGTCCTCTGTAGCTTCCTTAGCTGCTTCGAGCTCCCCATTCATCTCAGAAGGACAGGCATTCTCTGGGACTGTTATTCCTTGCAGAGGTGAAACTAGATTTTTCCTGGTGATGATGACTTCCCAAAGTTGACTCTATTTTCTTGAAACACTTTTGGAGTCTAGAAGTCAAGGGCTCCGAAAACTCTGTAAGTAACTAACCCCAAATATTATGAAAACAATAATTATTGTTCTTCTTTTAGGCGGAATTTTACGTTGCTCAAAAGCAACAAAGGTCTAGCACACTTTTGCCAGAATCAGGTAATCAACGAGGCTTAAATTAGTGACTCCAAATGTTCTAGGAATTGATTTCAAATAAATTCCTAATGGGATACCACCCAGGGAGAAGGCAACCAGCTGAACATACAATCTCTAATAAAAACCAAGTTTAAAAAAAGTTCAAAACCAAACACATAAAAGCCTATCAAGTCAACTGAGAATTTCCAAGGCAGTTGCTGAATATGGCCACATTTTGCTGTATTCTCCGAAATCTTCTCTCTTTCTTGGCCTCTCTGCTTACAGCTTTTGGAAAGAAAGACCTTACAGAGCAGATTTTCCTGCTCAGTTCTTGCATTTCCCCAAAGATCCTGGAAAAATGATGGGATCTGCCCCAGCCCCTGCCTGTGTGGCTGCTGCAATTGTCCACCCATCTCTGGTTGGTGACACATACACCCTGAAGCCGTGGGGCGTGTTCTGTCCCTGTCGAGATTGCTTAGCAAGATCCATGGCGACCTTGGTTGTACTGTTGGGGGTCCAGGCCACTGTGGCTTGTTTACGCTCAGCAGTATATGCTCAAATGCTCAGCCTTGCATAAAAGCCTTGAACCCTAAGACTCCAACAAGCCTTCCTGGGCAAAGAGAGTCTTGTCATATCCTTGCAGCTTGCCTTTACCTTGTGCTTTTTGCTCTGCATCCTTTGCTTTTATTTTTTTTATCCATTTTTGGTTTTTTTCCAGTACTGGGAATTGAACTCACGACCTTGCCCTTGCCAGGCAGGCGCTGTGCCACTGAGCTAAATCCCCAGCCCCCGTCCTTTGTTTTTATAAAGCCCTACTGTGAGTCCAGCTGGCTAGGGAGCCTCAGGAGGCCTCATAGAAAACCACCAACCTTGGTGACCCTGCAGCAGCTCTGACTCAGCTGTCTTTATCCACCCAAGCACACAGACCCAACCTTGTAAAGCTGGAGGGACCAGAGGTGCAGGCACATCTCTTGCACATCTTTTGTTTGTTCCTTGAGCATCTAAAACCTTTTCAGATTATGTGCAACTATTTTTAATTGGGAGATTTAAAATACAGTGTAGGTAGTTTATGTGTCTTTAATAATGGAAGGATCTGGCAACTTTGCATAGAGCACCGAAACATCAAAGTGGTTGGTTGCCCGCTTGACCACTGCAAAGAGGGCCTGGTGCTTCTCGTGCCCTACAGTCTTACACTTTTCCACTGTCCCCTACCTACCAGGGATGCTGGGTTTCTTACATACTTCCAAATGCACAAAGGCACACCTGTTCCCCATATACACATTACAGTACTTGGCCCTAATGGTAGGCCTCATCTTACCCTATCCCTCCCATGACAGGGACAGGCTTGTGGAGCCCTACTGCAGGGTGAATGTTGTTTCAGGATGCTCCCCATTCCTCTCACCTAGTCTCTGCTCGTACTGCTTTCTAGACGTCATTTCTGTCACCAACACTGGTTTCCAAACTGGCTTTGAATCTCCAAACTGGTTTTCTTAGTGGTTTTCCCTGCACTGATACTTGGCTTACTGCCTCCCCTGTTGGTTCACCTTCTCTTGAGAGTCCTGTCTTCCTTCTTCCCCTTTGGCAGACAGCCTGCTCACATGTGAAGACCCATGACCTCATCCCGGGGGGAGAATCGGGTCAGAAATCTCTGTTCGACATCCCCAAAGATCAAATGCGCTAGCTTCTCTTCCAGTCATCTTAATGCCCAAAGAGCTCAGCAAAGCAAGAGAGGAGAATGGTACTGTGACAGTAAGACCATAACTAACTCCAAGAAATGAGAGTAGATATTTTATTAATAGCAAATATTTTTCAGTATTCCTAAGGGCCCAGTATTGCTCTACAGACACCACATATATGTAGATCTTAGCAGCGAGGGATCTCAGTAGTTTTAGGACCCGGTGATCTTTAATCCTGGTGACACAGAGGATTTCCTTGGAGTGCCCAAGTTGGCCAAGCCACATACCGGAAGCTTCTGATATGGCCTGGGTTCTCTCCAGTCTTAGCAGAAGTATTCTACTGCACAGCTGTGAAGCGTGTGAATTTTTCTCAGAAGTGACTGAGCTTGGGCCACAGGTCTTAACCCTCACTAATTTGGAAGGTGAGCAGTAGTCAAGCTTGCTAACACCTCCCCTGTCTAGCTGGCTGTACTTGTTTACCCAGAGCCCTGCAGAGTTACAACGGTCCTAACACCCCACACAGCTCAGGAGGAGGTTAGGATAAGCAAGATTTGTTTCTCTTTTCTTCCAATTCCCCAGAAGGTCTGGCTTTACGCCCAGGATGGAAGGAAATAGAAGAACCAATATTAGCAGCAGTGATTAAAGCATCCTCCAAAGAAACGTACCGTAGTCCTTGAACCACCTCTCCCGGATCAAGCTGCCATTACTCACGATGCTGACACTGGGCAGACCCAGCTCCACTTTGCAGAACTTCACGAGTTTGCCCAAGTATTCTCCTCGGTCCTGGAGAAACGGCTCTCCGCCTGAAAAGTTTATCTTCTCCATACCTGTGGGAGGTGAAACAAAGTTTCCCACTTCACACATAGCCCTTTTTATCCTTTTATTTAGTTATATGGTATTTGCAGTGCCTTATGCATGCTAGGCAAATACTCTACCATGAAGCTTCCCCCAACCCCACCCTTTTTCTTTTTTATTTTCAACGACAAAAGTAATACTTCCTCCATAGAAAATAAAAAATGAAAATCTTTCTCATTATCCTTCCGTTCCCTAACGTTAGCTCCCAGTGTCAAGCGTGCGCTTTATGGGAATCACCAGATACTTAATTCAGAGTCTAAGTGGAAACATAAAGATGTTGCTCTGTTCTCATTTTTCCCAGTTTAAAGTAGATGCACCTGAACATTGGGGATTCATCGGTCAGCGCAAGAGATTTCCTGTCCTGCCAAAGGGAACAGGGAGGCAATGGAAGCTTTGCAAAACAGAAAAACCACTTCCTGGGGCATCTGATTGAAGACACAGAGTGTAACAGCAAACTTCAACAGGGGCCTGATGCTAATTCCTACCACTTTGGTTTTTAAGGCACGCAAGAGACTTAGGTTAGTATGAGATTAGTTAAAGAGCGACAGTTTAATCTAGAAACATGGCTTCCCCTGGGAGATCAGGGACAATGGGTGAATGACAAAAGCTCCAAAGAAGAATGCAGAGAACTGAGGGTAGACCACAGTGACAACAAAGTGGACGCCTTAATGGGGAGACAGGCAGCAAACGGGAGGTTGCCCAAGGTGTCCTTTGCAATAAAGCACTACTGCATGAGCTCTTTTACGGAAGGCACAGAGTTGCAGGCACATGTGTGGGTGGGCAAAGAGACCAGCTAGTGTTGATCTCCGGGGACACAGAGGGGTGCAGGGCGGGCAGCACCTCCGGTGGTGACGCACCGTGGTCCGCTTTGTGAAATCGTCAAACTGTGTATTTCCTGTGTGAACAGTTGGGGACACGCCTGCTATATTCAGCCAGAAGTTAAATAAGAGAGGAAGAATGTCAGCGAGCTGCAGAGGCATTTGAGGAACAACAGGATGGGTCAGAAGAAAGAGCAGACTTCAAGGGCAAAATACCATATCCTGTGGTCATTGCCGTTTCCTGCAAGTCTTTAATGTGATGATATCCAGTGGGCAAGTCTTAAAAGTGAAGTCTGTCATAATTTATTGAAAACCACTTCTAAGGTTTTGTTTACTTGTTTGTTTTGACAGGGCCACACTATATAACCCAAACTGGTATCAAATTCACTGTGATCCTCCTGCCTTAGCCTCCTGAGTGCTGGGATTACAAGTGTGTATCACTACATCCCGTTTTTCTAAGGTTTTTTTTTTTAATAAGAGCATACACACAACTCAACTTAAAAGGCTTCGGTGTTACCCTTCTTCCTCTAAAAATTTTGGTTTTAACTTTCCCTGTTAAATATTTCTGGCAAAAACAAGTTGCTTCATGATTTGGATAAACTCTGAAAGCAGCAGCATGTTTCCAAAGGCTGGGTGACACAGGGCTTCCCGTGGGCACAGACCAGGGGCAGCAGGAGGCAGAGAAGGCTCTGCTAACTAACGCTGTAATCCAGGATGCTGGGTGCCCCTCTTTCCCTGCACCCACCTTGCCCTTTCACCCAAGACTTCCCGCAAGTGTTTCCGGGCAGAGGTACCTCCCATTCTGCAGGCATTGTCCAGCCTGTGCGGTTGAACGCCCTAATTTCTTTTGCAGACTGGGACTCACCGGCTTCCTTGAGCAAAAGCAGCCCTCTCTTGGCCTCCTCCAGGGGCAGAACGAAGGATGTCTTGGCCGTGTGGAAGCAGAACCCACACTTGTAGTTGCACTGCCGAGTGAAGTGGTAGTTGACACTGGTGGGGATCGTGTAGTTCTCCTCCGCCTCCTCCTGGCTCCCCTCCAGTTCTCCAGCAACCTGCTGCTGGCCCATCTCCACAGCTGGCCACCAGAACGCTGCTCTCAGCCAGCAGAGCAGCGAGGCCAGGCTGCCCCACAGAGAGCCCAGCGGCTGCCCGAACGCACTGAGCATCCTCCCAGCGAGAGCCGTGGGTGCCAGCATCCCCATGGTGGCCACACTGGTACCCTGAAGCTGTCCCTGTGCCTTATATGACAGTGGAAACCAGCCACACCTCCAGGCATCTTGGCCCGGGGGAGGAGAGAAACACACACCTCCTTCGACTAACGCTCAGTTGAGTTTCGATTTTCTTCTCTTGGAAAATGAAAGTTGGAACATAGCCAAGACTGAAGGCACAGGAAGGGAGCCAAGTCTTCTCCCTTTATGTCTGCCTTGGGGTTGCCTTGTCCACCTGTGTGAGTCATTCCTATGTGACGGCAGCAAGGTTTGCCTCTTCCTTTGTTTCTGAGGTTTAGAGTCCCTTATCCGAGAGGCTTTAGATAAACACGTTTCACATTTGGGATTTTTTTTTTTTTTTTCAGATTTTGGAATCTTTGCCTAGTCTGATCAGGAAATCCATTTATATTTCTTATCCATATACACCACGTGCACATAGCTGACAGTAATATCTTACAACATTGTGAATAACTGTGTGCATGAAACAAAGTTGCACAATGTGTCATATTAGTTTTCAAAAAGTTTTGAAGTTGGAGCATTTTGATGTTTGCATTTTTCAGATGACTGAGCTGTTTAATCATGTGGCAGCTTGGTTTCTATCACCCTCCACATAGCGGATACTCAGGGAAAGTTTATTGTGAAAGTCAAATAAACATAACTACCATAGGATCCAGCAATCCCACCCCTGGTATTTATCCAGAAGAAATGAAATCAGGGCATAGAAGAGACATTGGCACTTCTATGTTAATCGTAGCACATTCATGATAGCCAAGATATGAAAGTATCTTAATTGCCCATTCACAGATGCATAGATGAGAGAAATGTAATACCTATATGAGATGGAGTACTTTTCAGTCCTGCAAAAGAAGGACATTTACAGCAACACAGATGGATCTGGAGGACATTATGTTGAATGAAATAAACCAGACACAGAAGAACACACACTGAACAATCTCCCACTCCATGGGATTGTTAATTGTGTGAATATTAAATGCCTAGCAGACACTGGACTTGAAAACCACAAACTGAAAAGGGAAGACCCACCCTGGATGTGGGTGACATGAACCAATAGGCTTGAAGCCTGGGAGGGAATAAAAAGAGAAAGAGTGAAGCTTACCTTTGTTGTTTCTTTGGAGGAGCTCAGCTGTTGGCCATCACATTTGGACTTTTATCGCAGTCCCTTCAGGCTTTCAGCATAGACTCTCCAGCCTCCAGAGCAGCCCCTTTGGCTTTCTGACATGGATTCACCAGACTCTGTGGGGCAGCTCCAGGCCTTCGACTTCCAACTGAGTCCCCTAGTTTTCTATCGTGAGCTGCCCACTCTGCATTCCCCAAGCCAGATACTGCAGGCACCACTGTAAGTCTTCTCTCTGACCCCTTTATACACCATGTATTAACAGAGATTTGCAGCTATTCATTTAGGGAGCCCTACCTGCTACACCATGAAATCTCATTTCAACTCATAGCAGTACAAAGCAGTTACCAGGGATAGGAGACCAGAAGATATGCAGAAATGTTGGTCAAAAGATAGAAGAAATAAGTTCAAGAAATCTATCACGCCACATGAAGACCATAGTCAATGTTATTGCATAATATTTTTAAAGCCACATAATAAAAGAATGAATGTGGCATTCATGAGGCTCGGGGGTCCCTTCTAGGCTGTGGTAACAACATGGGGACAGAGTTGAATTTATATTTTCATTCTTCTTTAGTTGCTCATTTTAACTTGAGCATTGTGGTAGAGTGAAAATGTGGATGTTTGTGTTTTGCTACATTTTGATCCCCATTTTAACACCCAGTTTCACCTAGGAATATCAGGTGCTTCCTAACTGGTAAACACGACTGCAGCCTTTCACGTTTCAGAGGATCCTGAGGAAGTACTGTGGACTCTCACATGAAACTCTTCCTCCATTAGTTTTCAATCAGGATGAGGGTAGCGCCTGAGGGTAATCTCAGGCATCGTGAGCGAAAAGAGAACAAAAAATAGTGGCCCAACCCGCAGAGTCATGGACCCAGGTCAGGACTTGGCAGCTGAGTGATCTCCATTTCCTTGTCAGCAAAACCATCTCCTGCAATCTTTGCAGGAATAAAAATTATTCTGATTACAGAGGCAAACCTGTACAGCCGCTGATGGACAACCTGAAGCACTCAGGGAGAGTTAGCTACTGTTTTTGTGAATGGAAACAGAAACTACTCAGGTTCCTACACTGGGAAACTGAAACCAAATTCTGCATAACAGTAGGCATATGTTTAATGATGCCCAGTCACACAACCAAGCACAGGTCCAAGCCCCTGAAATCTTGTGAATGAGAGGAAATTGCATAACATTGGGTGAAGTTCTTTACCTGTTCATTCTTGCTAACACTTCTGGAAAATATAGATAGTAATTCATATGGGGAATTTTAAAGATTGAATGATGTGATGTAGATAAGGCACTGAGAGTAGTACCTGGCATAACAGATGCTAGAAATATCTCATGTGGAGCCAAGTATGGTGATGCACACCCATAAGTCCAGCATGCTGGAGGCCAAGGCAGGAGAATTGTTATAACTTCAAGCCTAACCTGGGCAACATAATGAGCTCAAGGCCAGTTTAAACTGCAGAGCAAGACCCTGTCTTGAAAAATTAAACAATGAAATCTGGTATGCTTCTGTCCTCTTCCTCTATCATCTCTTCCTCTTCTCACTTATCTTCCTCCCCTTCCTCTCTTCCTCCTCCTCTTTTTCCTCTCCTCTGCCCTTCTCCTCTTCCTTCTCTCCTTTTCCTTTTAATCTTTTCAGCTCTACAGATTGATTCCCTGGCCTTTAAGCTGAGCTATATCCCTAGCCCTTTGTATTTTTATTTACTTATTTATTTTTATTTTGAGACAGGGTGCACTAAGTCACCTAGTTGCTTAGATGGGTTCAAACTTGTGATCCTCCTGCCTCAGCCTCCTGGAGTGCTGAGATTATGGAATTTTCTTCTCAACCAACTTCCACTGAGCTGTTCACTGAACTCTCTGGATTCTCCATATTCCCAAGATACTCTCCCAGCCTGCATTTCACCTGCCCCTCCTGAATGTTCTGAGAAAGGCAGATTAGATGTGGCCAAGTTCTATTTGCAACCTGATTGTTCCCAGGCTCCTGGTCTGTCCGGTAGCTACCAGAATTCAGGAAGAAGGAACCAACCTCAGGGGAAGAGGTCCCTTGAAATCACAGCTTACAAAGCCCCCAACATGGATGCAAGCTGGGGTTGAGGTCAGGGCTCCCCCTGTTTGCTCTTTACCTCTTAATAGCTGGTTATCTTTAAAGGAACTTAAAAACAACTGAATAACAGGTAAATGTCACAAAGTGTCCACAGCCAGGGAGCTTTCCCCTACACACCTCTGTGCCTGTGATATTCTCCATATGCTCTGATAAGGACCCTGCATGAACAGGGATTGCCACATTGAGTGGACTCTTGGATCTGTTCCCTTGTTGCAACCACCCTATTTTTTCTCTGGGAGACCTTTTCTTGAAGTGTAGCTAGTATAAGGAGAGATGCTCCATTAATAAAAACAAGGTACAGTGAATTTTCATAGGAGGAACATGCACTGTCCTGGCCTTTCTAACTAAGAAACAGAATGTTAGCAAGACTTCGAAGCTACCATGTTCTTTCCTCACACATTGAGCTTACCTCTGCCAGGAGGTACCAGGAATCAAACTCAGGACCTTGTGCTTGCCGGTCAGGTGCTGTGCCACTGAGCTATATCCCTGGCCCCTTACTCTCTTTTTTTAAAAAACCATGCTCTAGGTTGGATAGCTGAAGGTCTGTACATAGGACCACATAATATATACCTTTTTGTGTCTAGCCTCTTTGGCTCAATGTTATATCATCCACTTTGATGTGTTTAACAATGGTTTATTCATTTTTTGTAGCTGTATAGTACTCCATTATATGAAGAGAGCACAATTTATTCATCATCCTGTGAGGATGGAAATTTGGATTTTCTGCTATTGGGCTACAAATTTTCTTATACAACTTTGGGTCCACACATGCATGCATTTCTGTTGGGTATGCAAAAACCACCTAGTGGAATTCAGTTGACACCAGAGCCCCTGGTTGATAAGGGACACATGCACTCCCATGAGGTGCTTATCTCCAAATGGTTTTAAAAGTGATGAAAACTCTCAGGACTCGGGTCCCTTGAATTTTACCTTCCACTTGCTGGTGCCATTGTTTTTCATTTTGGTTCATCTTAGCCACGAGCCCGAGGGGTCACAGCACATTCTTGTTTTGACTTTCCAGTTTCCAGCTGAGTTACGTGGTTACCCACCTTCTTATGTGTTTTGTGAGCCACTTGGACATCGCACTGCAATGTGCCTGTTCAAGCACTTGCCCATTTTTGTGTGGGGTTTTCTGTGTTTCACTGTTGATTGTTGGAATTCATTGTGTATTGTGCATTTGGTTATGTGTGTTGCAAACATCTTTTTTTATTTTTTGAGACAGAGTCTCCCTAGGTAGGCTGGCTTTGAGCTCAGTACATATCCTGGGCTGACCTCAAGGTGATCCTGTTTCAGCCTCCTTAGCAAGCATCTTCTGTACCTCTTTGGCTTTCTTTTTGCCTGTTATGGGTCTAGAATTCAAATTGTGTGTGTGTGTGTGTGTGTATGTGTGTGTGTGTGTGTGTGTATGTATGTTTAAATGAGTGAAATGAAATACTACAGTTCTTTAAAATGATAGTACTCTTTTCTTAGGATATATATTTCTTTTCCATTCTTCCCCTGGTAACAACATGGGGACAGAGTTGAATTTATATTTTCATTCTTCTTTAGTTGCTCATTTATGTGTGTATTTGGGATGTGCTTTAAGGTCTCAAGACCTGCCTGAAAAGCTTGCTGATTTACTCAAAGACAGATAGTTCGCGTGAGACTCCCAGCTAGGGTGCATTCCAACAAAAGGAGGCAGAGAAGAAAAGATTCCTGGCAAACAGAGGCTGGAGAGGTGGGCCTGGGCTCAGAATCCTGATGCTACCTGGGTGGCATCAGGAGTACTTTCCTTCCAGCAGTGACCTGAGGGACAGGTGTGGAACTGTTGACTGGGAAGCATGTTTGAGACTCAAGGTCTGGGGTTCTTTGGAGGCCTGGACATGTATGCCCTGTCCTGCTATGTACCCAGCCATGGCAATCAAACTCCAGGTTGCAGGAATAAATGAGGTATGTACCATGCATCTGGGTACTTGTGCACAGTGATCTCACAAGTTGGTATGAATCACAGTCTGCAATCATCAGTAAAGAGATGCTTTTGCGGGGATCATATTTCTAGGGCTTGGGCAGGGATCAGTCATGCCTGTGGGGTTCCATGGAGACAAAGAATGACCACAGCGATCTGTTGGTTGAAATTTCCTCTGAGGTAGTTACATAAATTACATTTCTTAATGGGAACACCACACTACATGCCCCCAACACTGGGAATTCACAAAAAAGAGAAAGAAACACATGGTTTATGTAAGAGAGAACCTATCTGTTCCTAAACACTTATTGCTTTTCAAACCTCTTACCAACTTCTTTCCTGGGATTTGAGTTAAAAATCTTGCTTACACTTCCTTAATTCATATTTTCTGAGTATCTCACTTATCTTTTGATGTTCAAATCTGTTCATGTAAAATTGAATGAATATTTTCTTTGGTGGGCCTTTTTATTAAGGAAGTGGTTCTGTCTACTTGTCTATTTGCAGTATTCTCATTTTCCTTTTCCTTTCTTCCAACTTGAATATACTACCTAAAACATGTCACTTCAGCAATCTTTCATAAACGAAGCTCTTGTATATATAATTCTCCCTTTCTGTATGTATTTTTCTCCCTGTTTTACTTTCTCATTGCTAGGACAAAACACCTAACACCCACAAATTAAAGGAGGAGAGGTTTATTTTGGCTCACAGTTTGCGGAGAGTTCAGTCCATAATCGGTGGGCTCCTAGGCAGGGTGGCACAGCAGAGGAGAAACAGTCCATGGTAGGGCAGCAAGAAACAGAGAACCATCAAGGAAAGAAGAGGGAGAGATACCACTCCAGGGCAGACCCACAGTGACCCACCTTTCCCCACCAGGCTCCCCCTTCCAACATCACCCCCAGCTGATCTGGTCACCTCCCAAGAGCCCCTGTTATGAGTGCATGAGGCTTTGGGGGGACACGTAGATATAAACCGTAACACCCTAGGAGTATACAAGTATATAAGATGATGGCTTTCCCTAAAAATACAACTATGCTATTTACTCACCCATCCATTCAGAGACGTGTTTGAAGCGTCTTCCCAGCTCACAGATCCCCTTACTGGGAAATTTGGTATGGGAAAGTTCATTTTATCTAAACAGCCTGTTGGGACCATCAAGGTCTTTTGCCCTAGGAATTTCAAATCAGCACTGAAAAATATGACTGGGTTTTTTCCCTCATGAATAAAGATATAGTATCTTCAATATCACCCACATATATTTCATACCAGTCAGAGTCCACTCATCATAGTGGCATTTTAATGTCACATTTCCTTTTAGCACAGAGGTGGGTGAAAATGGACAGGAAAATGTAAGAGAAGATATGACTGCCTTTAGCAAATGATGCACCAAGTTATCTTTCTATGGATAGCTCAGAGACAGGTGCTGATTAAAGTTTTTCTGCTCAGCTTTGAGGTGCTGGGGGTGACAGGCTGGTGGGTAAGTGGTGGTGCAGGGTCCTTTGTCTCCCGATGCCTGTGCATGAGGAAGAGGCCACCAACCCAGATAATCGAGGAGCCAATGGCTACACGGTGCCCCCAACCCGTGCACCTGCTGAATGTGACCACACTTAGAGCAAAGGCCTCATGTGAGGGTTAAGTTGCACAGGCCCATTAATCTGGGCTCGGACACAATTCCTGTCCTGGTGGGAGAAGCTATGTACAAGATCCCAGGGATGTGCAGATGAGGTACCTCGTGAAGACACAGTGAGAAGATGACAGCCCACAAAAGAGCCATGCGTGAAGGCAACCTGTGCACTGGGACTCCTGGCTATGTCTTAGCTGCTTTGTCTGGTATTTTGTTACAGCAGCCACAGCATGTTAAGATGTCCAGAGAGGAGGATGGTGCAAGGAAAGGGCCCAAAAAGGCTTATGGGAGAAGCAGGGCATGGTGGCAGCACTGGGCCTGTAATACCAGCACTGTGGGAGCTGAAGCAGGAGGATTGAAAATTTCAGCTCAGTCGGGGCAACTTAATACGAGTCTGTACAAAAAAATATATATATATATGAGAAAAAGTCTGTGAATATAGCTCTGTGTGAAGGCCCTGGGTTCAATCCTTAGTACCACAAAAACAAAAACAGGAATAAATAGGAGTCACAAGAAGCCTGCTAGGATTTACATGTGAAAATATTTCCTCACATTAAATGTCCAAAAGCCAAATTATTCATAGAGAAAAAGCAAAGGGTGGAGGACCGAACACAGTTTTGTTCGTGAAACGCTAACAACGTCTTAAGAGTCATTATTCCCTTCTACCTCAACCCCCATGTGCAAGATTTCCCGTTTGTTAAAACATTATTTTCTTTCAGAATGAAACATATCCCAAACTTTAACCCAACTTGAGGCATAAAAATCAGTTGCTTTCAGTTCTCTATGATCTTTACATCAATTCCCAAGTTTTGAGATTTTCTTTTATGGAAGATTATTCCTTTGTGAATTTATGGGACAGGTTCAAAATTTCATTTATTTATTATTTATGCATTTGTGGCCGTGTTGGGGGGTGGAACCCCGGCCTCACACACCGTATTCAAGCGCTCTCACGACTCAGCTCCATCCCCAGTAGGACATTTTTATTTCATTTCATTATTTATTTTATTGCTACGGCACATTGAACCTAGGGCCTTTCTACTGAGCTACCATCCCAGCCCATTTCTTATTTATTTATTTACTCACTTATTTTTATCTTGAGCCAGGGTCTTGCTAAATTGCTAACTTGTCCAGCCTGGATTTGAACTTGTGATCCTCTTGTCTCAGCCTCCTAGAAGTACTGGGATAACAGGCAGACACCCCCACGTCAAGGGACAAACCCCTCTAAGAAGACACGGAGACTAAAGCCTCACACTCTCCGGAAAGAGGCGGGGGCTGTCATTACCTGAGGACAGGAGACATTAACTGTAGGTATAAAAGGCGGTTTAAAAATGCCCACGGGTGCAACACTGGCCAGCGAGCAGAGGAGAGACAGGGGAAGACCATCCCAAGGGGGCGCTTCCGGAGGAGGCGGGAGAAGCAGCCCAGCACGGTGGGTTGGGGAGGGGAGGTGGCCCGGCTCCCGCAGCCTAGTCTTGGGGTAGAAAGCCCCCCACGGAGTTAAACCAGCGCAAGGAGAGGGATCTCTTCCCCACCCTACCCCAGCCCACCCCACTCCACCCACTGGGAACCAAAAGGGGAGCTCGTAGCAGGGGTGGGGGCCACTGGCTGGCCCCAGCCCGGAGCGCCCGTGTCCTCCCTCGGCTGCGGCAGAGGCCAGGAGGACGCCCAGCCGGGGGAGGCCGCCGCCCTGGGGGACTCTGCGGGCCCTTGACGCGCGGAGCCCCGCGCCGAGGGAGGCTCTTTCCGCGCAGGCCTGGCGGGAGGCGGGGCGGGGAGGTCGCCCGGCTCCCAAGATCGCCGTGTCCTGCGCCTTCGCTTTCGTTTCCCCGGCGCAGCGGAGGGCGGGGACACCGGGGCGCCCATGGCCTTGGGGATCCGCCCGCGCTGGCCCGGGCCGCTGAGGCGCCTGCAGGGCCCGCGGTGGAAGCAGAGCGGGACGTGCGCTCCTGCCATGGCCCCACTGCGCCGCTTCGCCCTGGAGCTCCCGGACTGCAGCCTGGCTCACTTCGCCCTGGAGGACGCGGAGGCCGCTGGAGCGTACCAGGACTCGCGCCTGTCCGCGCTGCTGGGGCCCCCGGGGCGTAGCTTCGCTCTGTGCGCGCCTGCGGTAGCTGGGGGCGGCTGCGTGGCACAGGTACGGGCTGCGCGCGTGCACCAGCAGCTGCAGCTCCAGCTGCGCAAGGGGGAGCCCTTCCAGCAGTGCCAGCTGCGCAGGCTGCTCGGCTACAGCCCTGGAGACCCGGCTGCCGGCGCCCAGCACGGCTTCCTGCTGCGGGACCCCCTAGCGGGCCCGGACACGTGGCGCGCGTTGCTCGAGGTCCTCGTCGCCTGCCCAGAGCTCGCGCGTCCGCACCTGGGCGAGTTCGAGGCGGACGCGAGCGGCGCGCTGTGGCTGCGGTTCTGGGAGTTGCACGGGGGCGCGCAGCGGCAGGTGAGCTGCGCACGCGTGGTGCCTGTCCCAGAGCCCCCGTTGCACCCGGTGGTGCCGGACCTGCCCAGTTCCGTGGTCTTCCCCGACCGGGACGCCGCCCGTGCAGTTTTGGAGGAGGTAAGTGCTCTTTCCTTTAAACATGGTATGTAGACCACCCACCCAGCAATACAAAGGATCGGAGCAGTCTGCCCTCTGGCAAGCTGGCTATGAAAAACATTCTTGGAGGAAGCTGGAAGGCCAAGGCAAGATCACAAATTGGAGCCCAGCTGGGGCAATGTAGTGACTTAAGGACACCCAATCTCAGCGTCAAAGAAAAATTTTAAAAGGGCTGGGATGTAGCTTCCTGCACGGGCGCTGGGATGAACCCTCAGTACTAGAAAACATATGAATACATCCTGGGGCAGTTTATTTATACCTGTGCTCAAATCAGGTAGTGAAAGCATCCTGCCTGCCGGGCTGTGAATTAGACACTTGGTCCTTTAAGATTCTGGTCTGGAAGAGCTTCTGATGCAAAGGGCGCCCCAACACCAAGCCGAGCCAGGCATGCCATTAAGGGCCAGCCAGAAATGCCCGGGAGAGTATGAGGCCGCTGGACAGCGGGGAGCGAGAGGGGAATAAAGCCAGGCGGGAAGAGCTTGGGGTTTGGACCCTCGGAAGGAAGCGCTCAGATTTAAACCTGCTTGGATGCCGGCCGCAGCTGGCGGGTGACGCCTTCCACTTTTTCTGCTTTTGTCTGCACAACAGTGGCTTTGCAGAGATGTTTGGATGATTCATGCAGCCAGTGACTCATCGCAGGTGCTCAGGAGAAGAAATCAAACCTTTTTTTCCTGACCCTAGGCAAGGGCGCTCTGATCGTAGATTTTACAGGCCTGTGCTCCAGCGTTGCGCTGTGGGTCAGAGTGCAAAACCAACCACCTAAGCGTGGATTAGATCTCTTGCATTGATTAACTGTCCACTTCGAGCTAGTTTCTATGACTGTCTTTGCCTCATAGCAAGACAGGGTCTTGCTACATGGTGCAGGCTGGCCTTGAACTCATGGCGATCTTACAGCCTGAGCCTCCCGAGTGCTGGGATTACACCCGTGCACCACCACACCTGGCTGTCAGTGTCCTTCATTTTTCAAATGTGAATAAGAACAGTACCACCCCTAGTGTACTCAGAGATTGGCCAGCTGAGTGCTTGGGAGGTGCTGGGAAGGCTGCCTGGCTCAGAATCATCCCGTGCATAAATACAGGTCTGGGTTGCAGGTGGAGGCGTTGTGGGTACAGATGCGCCATGAGCAGTGAGAGATTTTGAAACTCCAGGCAGATGCTGTGTCCCTAGCTTTGCCACTGTCCTCAGCTCCCTGAGCAGTTGGAAGCAGGCGTGGTGTAAATGCAGACTGCCATGGCTAAAGCCCTCCTACAGCTGGGCGTGTTGGTGCATGCTTATACTTCCAGCCCTCCGGGAGGCTGAGGCAGGAAGATTAGAAGTGGGAGCCCAGCCTGAGCAGCTTAGTGAGTTAAGGAGACCTAGTCTCAAAATAAAATATAACATGAAAAAAGGGACTGGGGATGTCATGCAGTGCAGAGACCCTTGATTCAATCCCCAGTACTGCAATAAATAAGTAAATTAACAAATACAGTAAAAGAACTAAATAATAAAGCCCAGGAGGTAGCTCATTTCCCATACCTATGACAAACCCTGCTCAGGGCAGGGCCTGAGGTTCATGGTGCCTGCTTCTCACTGCCCTGCTTTCCTCCTGAAGGGGAAGCTGTATGTGGTGGGATGCAGGCTGTGTGATCCAGGTATCTGCAGCCCTTTTGAGCCTTTGCTACTTGTTATCAAATAGAGACTTGAGTCATAGGCAAAAGGATGCAATTTAAGTGAGATAAATCAGACACAGAGGTCAAATATCACATGCCTTCTCTTATACGACAAACTCAAATATCTATCTGTGTAAATGATAGAGAAATGGGAGGTAGGGAGAAATTCAAGTAATTCTCTAAATTACCTACTCCATAGTTTCAAAAATATTTTAATATATATACCATTCTGTTTCATTTATACCACTAGTTTCTCTTAGTTCATTGAAAGGAAAGTTTTGTGCTGTCATCTGTTTCTTCTTGTTAAGGAAGTAATTTTGTGTACATTGTGTATTCTGAGTAAGATTATCATACACAGTATATTAACTATTATTACTCTTATTATTTTATTATGAAATTTTGTTTTGTTCATAAAACAACAAAAAATGATTCTGAATCCATACTGAGAAAAAGTTGTTGTGTGGTGCTTAGTTTATCTTAGGCCTTGTTAGCACTGACCACGTTAGAGATGTTTTTTGCAAAAGCTCCAGTGCTTTTCTGCTGATGGGGTCCTTTTGGTTTTAGTGTATCCCCTTTATTCCGGAAGCCCAAGCGGTGCTTAACCTGGTTGATCAGTGTCCGAAGCAGGTGCAGAAAGGAGAGTTTCCAGTCATCGTCATTGAAGGACTGGATGCCACTGGTAAGCACAATTACTTTGTAACTATAGGCAATGGCATTAACTGATGCGTTGCAGAATGGTTCTTGTACAACAGAACTTTATGCTGAGCCTCAGTGGCCTCTACTATGTACGAACACTGTGCTGGACAGATGTTGGCCTTTAGGCCAAGGTGAGGTGGGTGAGGGACGGGGCTCCCTCCTTTGCTGAGTGCAGGAGGCAGACCAAGCCTGGGCTCTAAGAGGGGGGCAGGGCAGGGAGTGTGGTATAATAGTGGGCGAGGGGGCTGGAGATAAGAAGTGGGGAGTGCTTCAAGTGGAAGAGATGGCATAGGTCCAGGTGCAGGCCCAGGAACTAGACTGATGTGTCCTGGAACCATGGACAGTGTGGAGGGCTTCCCTTAGACAAAAGAAAGAGGAAATAGCACGTCCTAGTCTCTTTTCTTTTGCTAGGACAAAACACCTGCCGCCTACAGCTTAAAGATGGAGAGGTTTATTTTGGTTCACGGCTTCGGAGGATTCAGTCCATGACCAGCTGGCTCCAACACAGAAACAGCATGGCAGCGGGGTCTGGTGGAGGGATGCTGCTCAGTTTTTGGCAGCCAGGAAGCATAGACAGAAGGAAAGAGCTGAGGACAAGAATGCACCCCACCAGGTCACACTCCAGTGACCACCTCCAGCCAGGCCCCACCTCCTACAGCACATTCAGCTGCAAACTTCCGTGCAGGAAGCCACTGATGAGCACAGGGCCCCATGATCTAATCACCTTCCACACACATGAGATTTGGAGGGACATTTTAGATCTAAACCATAACATGGAGGGAAAGAGCCTTTGAAACTGCCAAAGAGATGTTAGGACACAGCAGACCTGTGCTTACTGAGCATACAACACACAAGTAGACATGAGAAGGAGAAGCCCTGCTCCCAAGGCCAGGAGATGACTAGGAGAAGACCCACCTTGGGGAATGCTAATGTTTCTCCTTTCTCTGTCAACTTGAGGAGACAGGCTTCTCTTCTGAATCACATAAGAGGTCGTTTCCATTTGGGGCCCTTGTGTCACAACAAGGTAGACTGAGGCCCAGGTGGAGGAGTAGTGTTGACTTTCATGGCTGCATCCGAGTGATCAGGCAGAGAGGACACATCCTTCAACCTCGGGCCACCAGCTGTCACCACTTAAATGTATAAGCTATGCCGTGACCCAGGCCTCGTTATGTTTATAGCCACGGAGAGAACTGGAACAGCTTCACTGGGTTTTATTGATCATTATTTTGAGCCAGGTGCTAATTTAGATTCTTTGCCATTACAAAAGATTCAAACCTTTTACTCCAACCTGTGTGGGCACACTTGTAAAATTCACAAGGAGATTGGATAGAGGGGAGAAAAAAAAAAATCCCAGGTGCCATGTTTGCAGCTGGGTGCAGGCCCATCATCAGGGCGAGCTTGGGTAGATTTATTACCTTTTCTGGTGCTAAATTTCTTCAATGATGAGGCGATTAAATGGTAAGTACTGTGCAGGATCTTTTGGGAGGACCAAAGGTGCAGTGCTGAATGCACAGCTTGTAGTAGACGTTGAGAAATGGTCACTAGGGTTAGGATCCATCTCAACAACTCAAGAGAAAAGGATAAAGGAAATGTACTGTTGGTGACCCACTCTTAGAAAGAATGTGAGAGAATAAGAAAGTGCAAACAGTGGGAACTCAGAAGCTAGCAAAGAGTGTTCTGGGGCAGATTAGATATTTTGTTTTCTTTCCAAATGTTCTATCCGGGCCAGAGATATAGCTCAGCGGCACAGCGCCTGCATGGCAAGCATGAGGTTGTGAGTTTGATTCCTGATACAAAAAGAAAAAAAGTTCTATCAGCAAACAAAAGAATCCTAAGTTCCCCTGGGTCTGCAGCTCTCTATAAAGAATCTTATCACTTACTCATCTCCTGTGAATGACAGGTTGAAGGCATTTCTTTGCTTTTTCTAAGTTGATATGAACTTCTGTGTGCACTGTTGGTGGTGATTAAGACTCACTATCTTGTATGTGATCCACAGGTAAGACCACAGTGACGCGGTCCATTTCAGAGGCACTTGGGGCGGTGCTCTTACAGTCGCCCCCTCCTTGCATTGGCCAGTGGAGGAAAATCTTTGATGATGAACCAAATATCATTAGAAGAGCTTTTTACTCTCTGGGCAATTACATTGTGGCATCTGAAATAGCTGAAGAATCCACCAGGTCTCCTGTGATTGTAGACAGGTAGGTAAAAAGATGCTTGAACAATGTATTTTCTAGCTAACATATAAGTGTATGTACTTGTCTGTGTGTGTACAAATATATACAAGTACACAATTGTGGTTATTAAGTCCAACAATATTATGATAACAATAGAATATCTGATATTTGTCAATTATCTACACCTTGCATTTTATTAATTACTATACTTGGTATTTTGTTGAGAATATTATAACATTATATTGATATCCACAATAATAACCTTGGGTAGGTAGATATTAAAAGTTATCTTCAATTTACCCACAAGAAATATAGGTCTTATAAAGGCTGAATAACTTGCCAAAGTGACCATCCTTAAAATAATGAACTGTATTGGGAATATTAATGAAAAGTCTGCCTTGCAAATTTATATTTTCAGTGACTCATTTGTTCATTGGTTCATTTGACAAACATTTTTTGAGCACCAAATGTGTGCCAGACTTTTCTCAGTTCAGAGAAATCAATGGTTAGTAAGGTGGACAATGTCCTGTGTTTGTGGAGCACGCTGACCAGGGCAGAAGATAACAGCCAATCCATGAGATGGTGTCAGAGAATCATAAATACTGGGCAAGGGAGAGATCAAGGTAATAGGTTAGAAAATGGCTAAACTTCCACCATAGTCAGATAGGACTATGGGGGCTCTCTGAGCAGGCTCTATGACCAAACTCACATCCAGAAGAGCCAGTTCGGAAAATTCCAGGGAGAGACAGCATATTGTAGGGAGAGGGATCTGTCAAGAGCAAGGCTAGGGATAGAAGGTTGTGCAGGGACTCGAGGGCTAGAGGGTGAGCAGCATGGGTTGATGCTGTGCTTTCTGGAGGCATGGGAAGAAAAACCTGGGGCCCTGAAGCCACAAGGAGGAGGGAATGATTTTGGGGATGCTTTGGGAAGCCATTGAGAGCATTCAGACAAGCCACATAGGAGATACAGTAGCTCGAAGTGCAGCCAGAGTAAAAAAGGGTACAGAAAGTGTACCCTGAGGTCAAAATCAGGAGTATAGAAATGAAAACCACAGTGAGATTCCATTTTAACTGGGCTCAAAATCACCGTGACTCAGGAATACAGAAATTGCAGTGAGATTCTGTTTTGGTCCTGTGAGGTTAAGGAAGACTGAGTAGAATTTCCTAACAACCAGGGCTGGAGACAGTCGGGGTTCACAGGGACTCTCCCATGGGCTGGTGGAGGCACTGGTATGGTCACTTGCAGAGCAAGGTGAGGATGTATAGTGAAAGGAAGGTTGCTTCTGTTCACCTAGAAACATGCCCCAAAGTTTATGCCAACTTTGCTTATAATAAGGACACCTTTGGGGTACCAAAGCCCATTTACAGCAGAAATGGTGAATACTGGTGTATTTGGAAATGGAGTGTTATTCTGTCACTGGATGGAACTCACTTGCTCTGGCTCCAGATTTAAACCCTTTTCTGGGAAGACTTACTTGGCTTCCCCTAGATGTAAATTAAGGACCAAGACCAGTGTCATTTGATTGGTTGTGTGTCCAAATGCAGATAAAGTATTGCAAATAGCATCTTCCGATTGGCCCTGCAAACAGCGCCAGATTCAAATGAGGGACCGAAGATGCCACATTCCGACTGGTTCCTGTACAGCCCCAGGAGCCCTGGAGTAATCTTGGGTCCTATGTTCTGTGTGTGTCCTCTGTATTTTTTATGACTTCTGACACATTCCACTCAGTCGTTTGTCCGGTTGGCCCAGCCCTAATCTACTACCTCAGTCCTGCAGTGTAAACAAGTGTGTATGAATGATGCAACCATCATATTGAGTGAAATCAGGTTGTAGAAAGCTGCTCAGTAGAATACATGAAAAATAGTACATTCTGCACAGTCTGGAGAGGTGTTCAACACCCAACTGAAGTGAGTTATCTGTGTGTGGATAGAAAGGTGCTTGATAAGGATATCACAGGGCTTCATTGCAGAGGATTATTTCTTATATCACTCGTGTCAATAGTACTTACGTTTCCAAAGGTAAGCAACTGCAGTTAAAGAGGACCTCTACTCAGAGGAGCAGTAACCATGTATGTAAATCTCAAGGAATTTGCAGGTGAACACATCCAGGTAACCTCTACCCAGATGGAAAATAGGGCTTTGTTTTACCCCATGAACCAGAGCCTTCTCCACCCAATCATTACATGCTCGCCTCTGCAGGGGTAGCTCCTGTCCTCACTGCCATCAGCATGGATTAGTTTGACTTGTTTTTGCTCTGCCTATAAATACAGTCACACCATTGGTGATATTGGCACCTGACTTCTTTCAAAAGACATTGTATTTCTGGGATCCCTTTGTGTTGTTCTGAACTTTCTTTTACACTCCTCTGACGCACAGAGGAGGTGGAATCAATCCCTGTGGTCAGTGTTTAAATTTTTAAAAATTATAACAGCAAAATACCCGTTGCTATGAATCCCGCTCAAAATCCTGCTCTCTTGGAACACCTTTTTCTCATCATTTTTTCCACTTTCTGAAGCAGCTCTGGAAATCCTCTTTCAGGAGTGAACTTTTGATACAGTCACTTTTTTTTTTTAATTTTAAAAAATAAAAGAAGGAAAACATTAACAAACAGACATCTATTTACAAAATAGCATAAGAACAATACAAACAATACAGAGTTACAAAGTAGCAGGAAATTAAGAATGGTTGTTGTCTTATGTATTGATATCTTCACAGTAGTTTCTCAGGAAAACAAATAGAGACATGCAGGATTGAGCAAACAAGTAATCATTAACTGTTCCTGAAGGCTGAACGTTTCCTAGCAGGCGCATGCAGTGCTACGCTATGGGTAGAGCCAGGTACTTGTGCCCTGTGTCTTCTGATTTCAAATGGGGGTGTTCATGATCCTTTCTCTGCCTGCTGTGTAGGCATGTGATGTGGATTCTATGGGACGATGCATGTAGGAATGAGCAGAAAATGACAAATCACTGCAAAAATATAGTGCACTATTATAAAAGCTTTGTGTAATGTGTTGGCAGATTGCATTGGACTCCAACCACTGAAATTGGTGGCTGAAGGGGCGATTATTTGAAATGAATCACAGGTGTGTCAACTAGAGACTGGCAGAGAAAACAGGCCCCCAGTTCTGCCTTGCTTTTCCTGCTTTGTTTTGGTGGCCTGTGTGCAACTTGGGGCTGTAAAGAGACGGTAGCATCCTGCCAGAAGAAAAGGAAGAGCAGTTCTGTGTTGTCTGGATGGGTGGGCTCATGTTTAAAGATTTTAATGCAATCTTTTTCGTAGAACACCCTGTCTGAGGGGTACAGTGATTTGTGATGACAACTGTGGTTAAAGGGGCAATATAACCATTCTGTTACCTTTCAATATCTGTTCTTGCTGATGGTTTTTCTACAGAAATGAGGCTTATAGTTAATATATCAGCCTCTGTCTTCTTACTAAGTATTTATTTAGTTCAGCAAATATGGAGTGTTTATAGATGGTGGTTTGTAGTTTTGGTGCTGAGAAAAAGAAAACCTGGGCCCTGGTAGATTTACTGAGCTTGGGATACAATACAAGGGGTGATGGAAATATATGGCAAAAGTTTAAATTTTAAAAGTTGTTATATTAAAAGACACATTGCCACGAGTTGTCCCCCCATGCCCCTTGGAACATATTCATCCTGTGGTCCATGTGACTTTCTGCAGCAGCTCTGTAGTCCTCTTTCCTGAGGGTCTTTACCGGGTGTGATCACAAGTATAGTGAATGTTGTTGCTGAGCGCCATCCAACAGAAAGGCAGGGCCATAAAAACATGATGCTGTGTCCTCATCTACCTTATTCACCGGATCTGGAACCGTGTGACTTCTAGTTTTTCCCCAAAGTCAAAGTGACCATAAAAGGGAGATGTTTTGAATTGACTCAGGACATCAAGGCAGCCAGTATAGTACAGCTAAAGACCCTCAGGAGAGAGGACTCCAGAGCTGCTGCAGAAAATGGCAAGGATGATGGGATGGGTGTGTTCCAAGTGAAGGGGGAGGATTTTGCGGGAGATGAACAGCAATGTATCTTTTATAGTAATGCATTTAAAAATAAAATGTAAACATTGACCATATTTTCTGGTCATGCCTAGTATATCTACTAGAGAAGGCAAAAGGGCAGGTTGGTAAGGCATAAGCCAGTGAAATCACCCAGAGGAGAGGTCCAGGCAGAACGTGGGAGTGGTATGCAGGGGCCTGCAGTTCTCAGAGCTGACTTTGGGAGGTACACGAGGACTATGACAACCCACCCCCAGCTGAAGTTTCCATCCTGTTCTTCTCAGTAGTGCCTTTATGGTGTTATCGTTCTTTCAACATCACAGCATTAGTTAAACCAGTGTCCGGCGAGCATTGTCTTATAGTGACAATGTGATAGTTCTTTTTTTCTAAAAGCATTTGTCTATTTTTGCCACAGCTAGAAAGAAAACAATGTTTGCATGGCTTCCACTTTTCCTGCTGCAGATGCCAAGACCATATTGACTCAGTTGACTTTTACCTGTGTCCACAAAGCAAGTGGGTGGGAGGAGGTAAAATAATCCCTGGCTTGTATTCCACAGCAGATTGGTTGTGTAGATACCACTCTGTTCTCTTCACTGTGAAAAGTAGTTCAGGTCTGAAGTTATTAAGAATTTAGGATCTTGGAGAATTAAAGCAGTTACTTGAAAATACCTTTCTACATCAAGATGTTTATAATTATGCCATAAGTATTTGTTATAAGCCACAGTCCTTTGATATCAGATCTGAAGTTTTTGCATTTAGTCAATTAAAATTGGGTAATGATGTGAACAGAGAGAGGGTATAATAGGCAGCAGCAATAAATGGAATAGTTCGCATTTGTTCAGTGATTGATTCGTACATCCAAGAAACCCTTATTACATACCGCTTATGTACCAGATGTGTTTTTCAGACATGACTAGAAAACACTTCCTAACCAAGGAACTTGTGGAGGAGACAAAAGATGTCACAACCATGAATGGTCTGCTTCAGTTAGAAGACTGGCAGGTCTCACAATGGGAAGCTCCTCACTAGTCACAAGGGGCGAGGAGAACACTTTGAATCCTGCTCTCTTTGCAGGGAGTTCTGCTGGGAAGAAACAGGAGGGAAGTCACTGGCTGGGTCAGTCACTCTTGCTGGAGAAGAAGGTGTGAGCACAGTGCTGGTCTTGGCTGAAAGGATCTTTTGCTTCTTCCAAGGAGGCTGAACCTTTTCCTGTATACAGCGGAAAAGCACTGGGTGTCTTGAAATAGTGGCTGGTGTGACTTTTGTTTATGGCTCTGATTTCCTTTTCCTGAAGTTGCACATGGTAGGATTGTTTTCCTGTGCCTGAGATCCACAAAGAGGTCTTCTAGCCACGTTCCCTACACATGGACTTCCTGCGGAAGTCCCAGGTTTTACTTGGCCAAGACCCAGCCGTAAGCTCAAAGGAAGTGCCAGACAGAACTGTGATGCCCTGCCTGCTGTTATCTACACAAACAGGACAGCCGTGCTGCAACGGTGCTGGACTCCCATCTCACCGTGCACAGTAGCTTCCACTTAAATGCAACTTTGTGCTCATCACTATTGTTTATTTTCACTTTTAAATTGTTCTGTGATGACTTCTTCCAGAGAAGAGATTTCACTACTTCCTCTGCTTCCCAGGTACTGGCACAGTACGGCCACCTATGCCATTGCCACCGAGGTGAGCGGGGGTCTGCAGCACCTGCCCCCAGCTCATGACCCTGTGTACCAGTGGCCACAGGACCTGCTCAGGCCCGACCTGGTGGTGCTGCTCACTGTGCGTCCCGAGGAGAGGGTGCAGCGGCTGCAAGGTCGGGGCCTGGAGAAGACCAGGGAAGAGGCGGAGCTGGAGGCCAACAGCATCTTTCGTCAAAAGTAGGTGTCCCTGGGGGTCAGGTGTCTCTGTGAGCCGGGATGAGCGCTGGCTTTGGGCAGCGGCAGGAAGTGTCTTTGTTTCACATTGCTAGTGCAGGATGACATGTCCTGTTGCAGCTCCTGCCTGTGCGCTTGTCACCCCAGGGTCACAGCATTGTTATCTGTGAACCTGGGCAGGACAGGAAGCACTCCTGCTTCAGTTTCCCCTGTCATGATATGCCGGGCACAGAATGGCAGGGAATGAGCTCAGAGTAATCCTTACAGATTAGGTGCTTAGTGTGTCTTAGGCATTTTATTTATGATGTGGTGGAGCCCTACTACACTGTTGCAAGGAAAGCACTAGCCATGTTTTTAACAGTTCGTCAGTTTATACAACCAAGCCTTGAAGGACTGATTTGCCTCAGTTTCCCCACCTATGAAGTAGCAAAAAAGGGGATGGAAGTCAACATCTTCCTGACTTCAGAGTCTGTGTTTATTTTCATTAGAAATTGATGGGCACCGTCTGAGGCTGAGTGTGTAGCTCACTGGACGAGCGTGTGCTCAGCATGTGTCAAGCCCTGGCTTCCATCCACAGCACTGCAAAAACAAAACAAAACAAGACAGAACAAGGCAAGAACAGGAAGAAAGTTTTAAGGATTAACTTGAAAAAGTGAGGCTGGCCTTATAGCTTATGGCCCTGTTAAGACTCGGGTTACAGCACTGGTTTTAGGGACTAAAGCCAAAGTAGTTTATATAAATAAATAACAATAACATTGTCACGATATAGTAAGGCCATAATACAATGAATAAAAATAAGGACTTTGAACTTGGCATGGTAAGGCACCCCTGTACTCCTAGTGTTCTGGAAGTCCGAAGCAGAAGGATCCAAAGTTTAAGCCCAGCTTGCACAACTTTTTGGGTGACTCTGAAAATTAAAAAAAATCTACACAGAACTGGCATTATAGCTCAATGCAAGGGCCAGGGATTCGATCCCTAGTACCACAAAACCAAACCAAAACCCCAAACCACTTTGCTGTACATAAAGATACCAGGACAAGGAATTTTTTTGTATTAATTCAATCAAACCTTATTTCAAATCCACAAGGAAGGTGCTCTTTCAGCCCTTGTTTTGCAGGTAACAAAGAGAGGCAGGTGTCATAGAGGATAAGGAGTCTGACCAGCACCTGGCTAGAAGGTAGCAATGCAGTGGCTTAACCACTGGCCCCTGTTTTAACCACTGGGCTGCCCAACTTCTGCCTTCCATGGGCACGGGCCATCTGTGCTCGCAGGCAATGGAGTTAGGTGCTGGCAAACAGTGCAAGGAGAAGATGGTTTTGGTGAAGTATTAGAAGAGGCTCAAGGGGAAGTAATGTCTGTGCATGGGACCATGGCTTCTGTGGAGATCGCTGGGGAAATAGACTGGAGAGAAATTTTCCATTTGATCTCTTTGAGCCTGCCTTGCTTTCTCTACAAAATGAGAAATGGCACTGGGGCCCCTCCTAAGGCTACCTAGAGAATGAAACGAGAAAAATTGGATAAGATGCTAATGCTTGGAAGATCATAGGAGTCCAATAAATGCCAGCTATTAAACGTGGCACATTATTATCACTTAGTGAACAGAGCCTGTTAAACATCTCTTATGGGCAGGGCTTGTTGCCGAAGGGAACAGGGGAAAGAGTAAGACGAGATCTTACTGCAGTCTTTTTGGGCTTTATTGTAGCCCCAAAATCAGCTTTGTGGGGACAACTGTGTGGAAAACAAGGCCAACCAACCCTGTTCCTTCTTCCTGTTTCAGGGTGGAAACGTCATACCGCAGGATGGAGAACCCGGCCTGCCATGTGGTGGACGCCAGCCCCTCAAGGGAAGAGGTCTTGCAGACAGTTGTACACTTGATCCAAACCACTTGTCATTAATTTGTCCTGCTCTGGCCAGATGCTGCCTTGTTCCAGAATGTATATCCTGCACTTTGTGCTAGGCAGCGTCCCTAAATTTCTATGGCACAGGCATATTGTGTGGCAGAAAACCGGACAGCATGTTGTTGTTCACCTTCCTTCTTCAGCCGCTGTCTTCCCCGGTGGCTGATGGGCTTGGCAGACTTGTGACTGGTTCTGTTCAGCTGGAGGGTGGCAACTGCTCCATCTTCTTGAAGCATGATTTGAGCCCCGTCATTACCAACTCTGTGGTGTTTGTTTTAGCCAGAAAGCAGCAGATCTGCAGAAGCTACCAGCAAGATCATTGCCCTCGGCAGAAAGTCTGCAGCCTCTCCTCCACCTAACTCCTGACTGCTGAGGGCGTCCCCTGCGGCCAGAGCTGACTTCTTCCCAGTCTGGCACAAGTCATTGTGAAGGGTCATGTCTCCTTTAGCAACAAATCCTGGAGCCAAATATTTACCCAGAGCTTGGCTGTCCGAGACATCCCAGGTGCCATTTGTAGCTAGGAGATACTTATAAAGAAGGCATCAATTTTATGTTGGAAGCTCGTAGCCCCTTCCAATTGTCCCCTAGTCTAGCACTTCAGACTCAAAACCATTCAACCCAAGCTGCTCTGACTGCAAATACACCAACCTTCTGTCATGATATTTTGCTTATTTATATTCCCTTCCTTTTCTCTGAAATATGGCTTTGAATGTAATGAGCAGTTTGAGCTGAACTGGATTCATTTCACTTAGCCAATCCAGCAATTTATTTATATTGATGTTTACATCATACATTTCCTCAGGGTAGGAGCTATGAGTCACTAATTAAAATTGGAGCCAAGAAGCTAAATGCAATGTTTGTTGTGTATTTTCATTACACAAATTTAATTTATCTCACTCAATAAGCACAGTGGTTCCTGGAATGGGATTTCTTAGTAAATTATCTTGCATGTGAATGTCTTAATGATTGCACATGAAGTCTGCTTTGAGGTCTGGTTGGCTAAAAAAAGAAGTAGCTGAGAAGAGGGGGAACCTTAATAGCTCTCTGGCCTTGACTGCTTCATTTTACATTAGTAGTTTATGTTGCTTGACCAAAAAAAGGATAATAATTTTTTGTCTAAGGAGAGGGTTGAACTAGATGATTACCGAAAATTCCTTCCTGTCCTAAGGTAGATGAATCCATAAAATACTGTATTTTAATCTTGTCTGCCATTTCTTAAGAAGACTTTACCTCAAAATAATTAAATTCAAAACCTTCCTTATCGGGTTTACTGTATGAATCTTAAATGCTAATAAAGTTTATCATTGGCACCCAGTTTTCAAAGGAACTAGAGATAATTTGTAATGAATGTATCTATGTCTATAAATATGTAACTGGTAACAGTTAAAATATTTTTTAAGCTGGTAAATAGCATTAAGGTTCTCCGCGCTGTGGTATCTGATTATACTGTTGTTTTCATTTACACGTTTTGAAAAACTGAGGCCAGCAATTGAGAAGAAGCATCTGATATTTTCTCTGTGTTCCTTGCAGATGAATAAAGTTGCGATGTCCTCCTGTGCTTCGCTGTCACTGTCACATGTGCATACTGATTTGCCTGAAAAGCACCTTCCTACCCCTCACACGTCCTTCTTTGAATATAGCAGCACTCTTATTTAGGAGAAGAATTTGGTGAAGAAATTGCGAGCTGGTAGCTGTGTGGAATTTGTGGGCAGGAGCTTTCACGAGGAGGGAGGCTGACTGTTTTATTTTATGCATCTCTTCTGCGTTGTAAATAGTAAAGGGATTTTGAAAAAAATAAGCCATTTTTTGTACACCTGACAGGAAGGTAAATTACAGCAGATAAGACATGTCCTCCTTGCCCAGACCGATGACAAGCATGCATTTTCTTGGCCTGTTCATTGCAAAAGGGACCTTGTTTTGTGACTGTGGGACACATTTCCTGTCCAAGCATTTATTCACCCTTTCCTCCACAGTGACATTTTAGCTCAGGGCTTGGCTGCAGAGAATCCTTCCATGGCTGTCTTAGAGATAGATGTCACCAGCTGGCTGGGGTCTTCCCATCAGCAGAAGGAACATGAGAACTGGCATGTGAATACAGGCTTTCTTTCTTTTCTTTCTTTTTTTTTTAGTCTTTTTTGAGACAAGGCCTTGCTATGCAGTTCAGTCTGGCCTTGGACTCACTTTGTAGCCCAGGCTGATGTCGAATTTGCAATGATCCTCCTGCCTCAGCTTCCTGAGTGCTGGGATTATGGGCATGTGCCACCACACCTGGTTTGATACTGGCCTTTTCTCCCCGAACTTTTCCTGCTGCCTGCACTCAGGTTTTGTGGGTACCAGAGGATAAGACAAAAAGACATATTTCCTTCCATTTCTGGTGGTATCCCAAATGAAACTCCTAAGGCTTGCAAGTGTTAAAGCCACCTTCATTTTTACCACGGCATGGGAAATTTTGAATTAATAAATTATATAGAAGCAAGAAAGAAAAAATACAAACACAGTGTGGAAGAGTTTTGTTTGCTTCATGACATTTTGCTTTCTAAGTCAAATTCTTTTTCCTCTTCTTTTTGGTGCTTGCATGTCATGGTACAATTTGCAGTAGCTGGATGGATGTCAGTCCTCAGTTGACATTTTTTCTGCTCAAACCATCCTTGTTGGTTCTACACCTGGTGTGGCTGACTAAGCTTCTGTCATATCTGAACTTCTTGTAAGCTCTGGAGGAAAAATAAAAATGTTCTGAAACAGTAGAAAATTCATAGTCTTTATGTTCTGAAAAGAATTCCCTGGAAAATGAAGACCATTCTTGTAAAATGACAGCCAAAGGGAGATACCCCAGATGTATCTGCTCTCCGCCCAAGTCTGACTAACCCAAGAACCACACAAATATTCAAGGAGACTCCAGTCAAAGATAAAGTAACTCTACTGATATTTGAATGGCTACCCATGGGGAGAGTTTTCAGTTGCAGTCTAATGAGGTTAGTTGCCTGCTGAAGCCAGAAGTGACAACTGTCTTTAGGGAAGCTTAACAGAATCCAGAGTGTCTACATTATGCTGCCAGTATCCACAATGCAATCTGAAATGACACCAAGAAGTATGAAGGTTATCAAGAGAAAAGCCAATCAGTTCCTCAATGGAGACCAATCCCATAAGGACCTAGCCTATTAAGAGTTAGTAGACTAGAATTTTAAAGCTACTTTCATAGCTATACTGAAGGATGTAAAGGAGCATGTACTTGACATAAATTAGAAAGTGAGAAGGTAAAACTCACAAACACAGTAACTAGAGAAGTATCCAGTGGAAATTACACAACTAAAACTTGCTGTATCTAAACTTAAAAATCACCACTAGATGGGTTTACTAGTGGACTAGTCAAGAGGAAGAATCTAAGATGCTTGAATTAATAAAATTATTTAATCTAAATAATCTCCAAAATACAAAGTTTAAGTGATCTGTGATACATATATTTGGAGTCTTAGAAGGAAAGGAGAGAAATGCAAAAAAAAAAAAAAATGTGAAGAAACAATACTTTCCCAGTATGGGGATGCATGTCACAATATGGTGAAACGTAAATTTACAGATTCAGTAAACTACCACCACACCATTAAATATGCAAAGAAAATGATGGTTAGGTGCATCAGAGCTGTCCAGATGGCACCTTCCAAAAAGTCAGGACCTTCCGGGAACCTCAGGACATGACCTCATTTGGAAATACAGTCTTGGTGGATCTCATCAAGCTACTATGAGAGCATAATGGGTATAAAGAGCCCTAATTCAGTATGACTAATGTCCTTATAGCAACCAGCTCTTCACTTTGGGGACAGACTACATAAGTGAAAGTTTACAACTTGAAGAAAGGTTTATTCTGACTCATGGCTTCAGAGGTTTCAGTCCATGCTCAGACAGAAGCAACATGGCAGAAGGGAATGGTGGAAGAAAGCTGCTCAATCCATGGTAGCAAGTAGCAGAGAGAAGAGCCTGAGTGTGAGGAAGGAGCCAGGGACCAGAGAGAGTCCCCAAGGTTGGCACCATGACCCACCCACCCAGCTACAGCCAGAAGTGTGCTTTATGAGCCTCCTGGATGTTTCATTTCTGAAGCCAATCAAGCTAAGATTAACCCTTATAACATCCTTCTAAAAGGTGAGAATGGGTCTGAGACACACATCAGTAATTCCGTATAACGATAGGACACCTACCAGAATGATGTGGCTGAAGTCAAGAGGACACCACAAAGGTGGTAGCCACAATCAGACCTGGTAGAGGGCAGGAAGGATTCTGCCCAGAGTCTCAGAGAGAACCTAGTGCTACTGGCACCTCGATTTTGACCTTTTAGCTGCCAAAACTGGAAGAGAATAAATTTCTATTTTTAAAAGTCACCCAGTTTGGGAGATGTTGTCATGGGAGAATTAGGAAACTGCTGCCATGTGCCACCCAACGATGCTCCACTTAGGGCAATGATAATGATATAAGGTGATATGGTCTAGTAATGCTGTAGCCATCTTAGTTTATGAATGTACAATCTTCTACTTGCTTATCTGGTTCTGAATTTTGGAATGAGCTGACTTTAACCATGGTGTCCTTTGGAATAGGTGTCTTCTTACATAATATTTTCCTGAGCACCTGGTGGGTCTTTTCAGTTGGAAAAACTCGTATCACTGAGTTCTTAGTAGCTTTTTTGAATTCTTTTCTTGATAAATTCTTTTCTTAGCTTTGTTCCATCCTCTCTCTTTTTTTGTATATTTTATGATTTTAGTGTTAGATGTCCTGGTCTTGTTTTCTAATTTCCTTATTTCTCTCTCTCTCTCTCTCTCTCTTATGTCCTTACTACATTTTTGTCAGGTTTCTTTAACTTTGTCTGTAAAATCATTTCAGATTTGCACTTTTGCCTCAAGTTTCTAAATTTCAGACTTTTGCTCCTTCTCCCTCCCTGCCCCTTTCTCTTTCCTTTCTTCCCTATCCTCTCCCTCCCTCTTTCCGTCTTTTTCTCTTTCATTACCTAGATGTTTTTGTTGATGTCTTCTTTTTATTGAATTAAATACCTTCAGATAGCTCCAAAATGGTTAACTATTGCTTGTTTACAGTTTTTCCTGCCAAATGCCAATGTCTCTCAAGGTGGATGTATTTATCAGTATTTGCATCTTCCAGCAAAGATGCTTCTCTCAGATTCTGTCAGTCCTCATCAAATGCTCAAGCTGAATGGGAAGACTAAGAACTGTACAGAGCTCTTTCTAGGGCTAGTCCTCTAGAGCTATAAAGAGGAAAATGGTAAGAAGCTCCCTCTGTGGGCAAGCAGACATGCACAGGTCCTCCTCTTGCTCCTTCTCTTCCTCTTCTTCCTGTGACTGTCATAGATGCATGACAAGATGTCATTGACTTGGCCTCAATGACAAAATCGACAAAGGTCCCAGGGAGTTGGAATCAGCAAAACATCATGTAAACTGGGTACGATACATGGAAACAGAACTCTAATGGGCATCTCTTAGAGACACAATCCATTCTTCAGCATTTTCCTCTTTACCAGAACATGGTGGCTTTGTGTTGTAGCACTCATCCCATGTATTCTTCTGTGTTGGCCCAGTAATTTTCATAATTGAATTGATTTCCACAAGCTTGTGGTCATATATTAAATGCAAAACTTCTCTTTTAGCCTGTGTAGTCCCCTCAGAGATCATGCATTGGTCTAAATGTACTTCGTAGCTTCTCATTGTTATGGCTTGAATTTCTTTAAGCAAGTGAAATATTTAAGACATTTCTGGGGAAAGCCTGTAATAAATTGCATTTGTCTCAATCTCCAACTGTGATTTAGTTGTGCAAGCTTCTCCCTCCTTTCCTCCCTCCCCCCCTCCCTCCCTCCCTCCCTTCTTTCCTTCCTTCCTTCCTTCCTTCCTTCCTTCCTTCCTTCCTTCCTTCCTTCCCTTTCTTTCGTTGTGTGAAGACTGAAATCAATTCTGTGCACAGCAAATGCATGGCATTTCCACTAGGGGGAGGAAATGTATGCCTTTCTGAGGGAGCAGCTCTTTTACTGAGACAATCACCTTGCTCATTACACACGAACTGTGCTGGGAAAACATCAGTGGTCCTTTTCATTTTTATTTAAATGCCTGTCCTAATGGGATAAGAAAGGACAAAATGTAGAACATTTCAAGGTCAGAGTAGCAAATCTTTAAAAGTGGCTAATTTCCTGCTTCAAGAATTCTGCACACAGCCCCAGGGTCAGAAAAATATTCAGAGAAAGACCTTAGTGGTCCTAGAACTCAGTGTCTTTCTTTAATAGTTGTGGAAAATAAGGCCCATAGAGGGATCTGTCCTGCTCAGGGTCACATAATTTGTTAGTAGAAAATGCACTCAGGAAGAGAAATAAATGCTGTAGTTCCTTATTCTAGTGCTCTTGATAAAGCAATAGCGTGTCAGCATACCTGGTATAGTATATGTCTATGTCCATATATGTTTATGTAAATAGATACCTACATATATGTGTTCTTTTTTGTGAAGTTTATGATGATTTGAGACCTGAGAATAAGAAGCACCCTGGAGTATTTTATATGTCTAAGTTGATTTGCTCCT